GTCAAAGCCAGTTCTGATTAATCTCCTTTGTCAGTGTGTCCTTTGCCATTCCCTATCACTCCTCCCTGAGTGAGACTTCACCCTGATTCATAAGGAAAAGGAGACGGCGTATTCTCTTAGCTACTTCCTACTGAAAAGGGACGCTGTAGGTTTCAGGGTGAAGATCTTCTCTCACTACTCTAAAGGGCCCCTTTGGCAGTAGGAAACACATAGACTATTATGGAGATTGATTTTGGGATTTAGACGCACTGTTATCAATTGTGCTTAGCCATACCTGTTCATATCCTTGAAGATGTATCATGTAAGTGTTGCAGCCTAGAAGACACAAATTTAACAAGTTAAAAGTACATGAGTCAAAAATTAAAAGCAATAATATTCCAAGTAGAGGTTCTAACAGTGGCACAAATCAAGTTACAGAGGGAAGGTAGTTCTTAAAATAAAAGCACTTTGTCTATTATAGTATAAAGGTTAGGAACCACAAGATGTAGAGGCTCAACTATGTCATTTATTGTTCTTAAGTCCTGGAGCAAATTCCATCTACCACTGGGTTGTTTTACAGCTCGGAAGTCTGCATGCAGGGCAGAGGTGAAGTAAGGAACTGCTTATGAGGTTTTCCATCAATTCCAACAACTAAGAAATAGTGAGAAGAGTTGGGACCTCAGAAGGCTTTTAGGACCAAATAGTAGGCTCTTGTGTCCAGGAGAAAACGATTATACTTACCAATAATGTTAATGCTCACCCACAGCTCTTCTGGGAGGATCTAAATCATTGAAGTGTCCTCCTTTGTTTCCAGCTGGGAGCTGGTGCCTGTTAGTCCTGTCAGCCACGAGGACCTGATGTGGCCCACCCTTGGCCAAGTATCTTTCAGATTCACACTTAAAGCAAGTGAGTGGGAGCTTCCTCTCTACTCCCTTGCCTATCTGTGGCTCTCGTTTGTGACACTGTCTACTGAAGTGGCTCAGCTTTCCACAATGGAAACAATTCTGACCTCCTTTGACAATGCATTCTTAAATAGAGATCTGACTACATAGATGTTGACATTTGCACAAAGAACCTCAGTTACAAGAAGGAGTGAGCCATGGGGTTGTTTGGATACTAGTCCAGGCAAAGAAAGGCATGGAGGCCATGGAGCAGAGAGGCCCTCTGGTATGACAGGATACACAGTAGCCAGTTTGGATTGGATTAGAATCTGTTTCCCCATTTAAAATGTAATGGATGATGATGATGATTTCCAAATCTGAACCTCAGTACGAACCTTCCTTCTAAGCATTGTTCTTGTATATACAGTTGTCATATTTCCAGAAGGATGTCTTAGCCAGAACCACTGAAAGTCCTCCCTGATTCTTTCCACTTCTTCCCTTCTCAGTAAATAGCACCTCTATTCTCTATTTGTTGAGGCCCAAATCCCAGGAATAACTTTAAAACATTTTTTTTGGAAACAGGTAATATACAAGATTTTTTTAAAAATTTAGAATGATACACCATATCTTATTTTAAAACAGAAATTATACTCTGATTGCATATCTATGGTATTTACTCTGCCAACCCAAAGTTCCAATTTACCAGATGCTTTGTGGGAGAAAGATGGGCAGTCTTCTCCAGAGCCATTTATAGCTTCTGAAAACCCCTGGAGGGTCAGCTCTTACTCAATAGCACTGAATAACAACTGCTATTATGTTCATGCCGTCTACTCCATATCTAATCCATCAACATGATGGCTCTACACCCAAAATATATATCAAATCTGATAACCAAATCTCACAACCAGTTTACAGTACACACTACTGTGGCCTACCTACTTTTCTAAGGAGCCAAAATGGCATAGTGCAAATTGTTGGGCTTCTAAACTGAAGGGCTGAAAGTTCAAATCCTCCAGCCCAGTAACTTTGAAAGAGAAAAGTATGCAGTCTTTCCCCCTAAAAATTTAACCACAGGAGAGTTGCTTTGAACGGAATTCCACAGCAGAAGGGTACCTGTCTCTCCACCTTCCTACAGGGCCTTATTTCTGCCCTAGAATGTGCCTAATTTATGTCTCTTGACTGAAACATTCTTCTCTCAGGTTATCACTTGCCTGACTCCTCCTGAACACTGAGGTCTCAGCTCAGATGTCACTTTTTATGAGCCCTTTTCTGACCCTCCTACCTCTGTTCATTACAGAAATCACCCTACCTCCTTTCCCCACCCCACCCCTAGCCAATTTTTTGTATGTCATCAACTGAATCCCCAGGGCCTAGCAAAATACCCAGCACATAAAAGCTTTTGTTAAATTTGTTGACCGAGTGACCTCAGACAAGATTGCTTCCAATCTTTAAGCCTCAATTACCTTATCAATAAAAGCAGGATAATAATGTCTATCTGGCATAGTAATTTTGTCTGGGATGTGGAGGGGGGGGAAAGGGATTATTAAGGACAGCGGAAAATTGGTCTTATCTCACTGTGAACCTTTGGAATTTCCTGCTCGGTTCCATTAGACAGATGAGCAAACTGATTGACAAAGCTTTCCTTTACTCTCAGGTTAAAAGAGATAAAGTGTAAAGAGGCCCTGGAAACTGTGGTCCCACTACGCAGCTGGGATCATCGCCCTTTTAAGAGGCGCGGACACCCCTCCCCCTCTATGTTTAATGTACCAAAGTTAGTGCCGGTCACGTGAAGCTCACGGGCTTGCTCCGCCTTAAAAAGGCGGAACCTCATCCCAGGGACTCCCTTACAGCCCGGAGTCCAGGCAGGGAAGAGGGGAGGAGCCGGGCGCAACGACAGCAGTAACAGCACTTCCGGACTGGTAGCCCCGCCCCTTCCCCCCTAGCCCCCGCCCGATTATAGCGCCAGAGCCGGGTGGGCTGAACCTGCGGGTGCTGATTAAAGGCGCCGCCGCTGCGTTGCAGCTTGCTCCTCGCCTCTCCTTTCCTCTTCGCCCGCCCCCTTCCCGAGTAGCGGACCGGCCTTGATGTAGGGACAGCCCCCCTATCCGTCCCAGCGCGGAAGCTCCGCTCCCCGCAGCCCGCTCTCCGCCCGCTTCTCCAGCCTGCGGGTCTCGCTGTGCTCCAGGCCCTTTGTATCCCTGGCGGCTGCGGACTCGGACCCGGCCGTGGTGGGACCCTGTGCGCCTTTCCTGCGGGTCTCATGGGTCTGAGCCCCTCCAGACCACCCTCCTCGTAGCAGCGCGGGCGCAGCGAGGGCACCCTCCCCTCCTGCAGAGGCAGCGGGGGCCGCCTAAAGGGCAGTGGGGGCGGGGGCGCACCCCACGCCGAGCCCCGGCGGCGAACCCCAGTGCCCCCTCCCTGGAGGGAGTAAAGCCGAGGCCCGAGCGAGCCGAGGCAGGAAAAGCCAGCCACAGACTGCCCGGCCCGCCGATCATTTTTATTATCGAGATTATTATTGAGAGGGTGGGGAGCCCAGGATGCGGGGGAGGGGGCTAGAGACGCAGCTATTTTTATTAAATAGATTATCCCTGAAATAATAATAATACGCGCAAGATGGCTGAAGGTGACTGTGATGAAAGTGTTCGTTTTTCCTTTTTTTTTTTGATATGAGGATCAAGCTCTGAGGCGACAGCCGCTCCGGAGACCCTTCCCGGAGCGCCCTCCCCTGCGAAGCAGCAGGCGGACAGACAGCCCCGCGGACGCAGCGCCGCGACGGGCAGAGGCCCGCCCCGGACGCGTCGCCCGGGCAGCAGTCTGGGGCCGCAGGCGCTCAGCGCCTTTCTGCCGACTTCTTTCAATTCTAATCTTTTTTATTTTTTGGAAAGGACCAGGGTGGGTGGAGCAGAGGTGGGGAGAAATCGGGACTTGGCATTTTCTCCCCTTTCTCGCTCCTAATTTGCCGGAGGCCGCCAGCCACCGCCACCCCCCACCCGGGAAAAACACCCCACATACACGCACACACACAAAAAGCAAAATAGAAACGCTGCAGGACCCTCGATCGAGCGCACTCGGACCCCGGCTGCTGCCGCCTGGAGCCCAAGATGGCTGGGCACTGAGGGAGGCAGCCCGGCCCGCCGACCCCGGTGGGCAGCCCGAGCCTCCCAGGCCGGACCAGAGGCCGAGAAGAAAAGAAAGTGGGGGGGAGAGGGCCGGGCGGCGGAGGGGGAGGGCCGGCAGGGGGAGGGCCGGGGCCGAGCCTCCTGTTCATTAGCAGTTGAGAAAAATTCCTTTCTAGTTTGATCAATCCTTGTTTTCCTCGCAGAGCTGAGGCGCCCGCCCAGCGCGAGGACGGGGAGCGGGGTCTGTCCGCGGCGGGGGCGCACGGCGCCGGGCCTCGGGGGAGCGCAGAAGTGGAGCCTCGGGGGTCAGGCAGGAGCACCGCCGGGGCTGCGCCCTCCCTCCCTTTCGTTTTTTTTTTACCCCCCCCTCCACTTCTCTCCCTCCCCCTTCCGTTTCTATTTGTGAAGGGAGGAGGAAGGCAGAGGCGGGCTGGTGTCTCTGGCCGGGGACTGGAATTTCATCTGAATGACTGCCCCTGCGCGCACGCAGCAGCGCCCGGGAGTCGGCCCGCCTGCGCCCCGCACCCCGCACACGGACGGACGCCTGGAGGGGCTCCGCGCCGCGACCTGGGGCGCGCCGGCTCGCCTTGCCCGCCAGATTTAGCCATCCTCGGCGCGGCCGCCTTCGATTGCCTGGCCTCTCGGACCCTGAAGGAGGAGAGGGAGGCGCGGTGCGGGCGAGCCTGGAAGGAGCCACCACCGTCGCTAGAGGAAGTGTGCGGCTCGGGGACTCTGTCTGCCGTGGGGCGCGCCCCAATGTCAGAGACGGGCCTGAGAACAGGCCGCGGGCCGTCGCTGCCCTAGCCGCGCCGACGGGGAGGCGGCCTCTTATATGGAATTTGGACCTCTGCGCTCCCCACCTGGGCTGGTGCCCCGGACGCGGCCCTGGCGCAGCCCGCCGCCTCCCGCTAGGCGCTCGGAAGGAGGAGGAGGAGACGCAGCCGGCTGCGCGCGCGGCGTGAGGACCAAGGCTCCCTCCTCTGGGAGACGGACGCAAGGAAGGCGCTGGTGACCAAGCGACTGTCGGGGCCGCCAAAGGCCGGAGCTCGGGGCTCAGTGGACCTACAACTACATCGGACGGACCCGCAGAGCTGGGGAGTTGGGGAAGCCTGCCCGGGCCCCCTGCCTGCAGCCGCCATGGCGGAGAATTGGAAGAACTGCTTCGAGGAGGAGCTCATCTGCCCCATCTGTCTGCACGTTTTCGTGGAGCCAGTGCAGCTGCCGTGCAAACACAACTTCTGCCGGGGCTGCATCGGCGAGGCGTGGGCCAAGGACAGCGGCCTGGTGCGCTGCCCAGAGTGCAACCAGGCTTACAACCAGAAGCCAGGCCTGGAGAAGAACCTGAAGCTCACCAACATCGTGGAGAAGTTCAATGCCCTGCACGTGGAGAAGCCGCCGGCGGCGCTGCACTGCGTGTTCTGCCGCCGCGGCCCCCCGCTGCCCGCACAGAAGGTCTGCCTGCGCTGCGAGGCGCCCTGCTGCCAGTCCCACGTGCAGACGCACCTGCAGCAGCCCTCCACCGCCCGCGGGCACCTCCTGGTGGAGGCGGACGACGTGCGGGCCTGGAGCTGCCCCCAACACAACGCTTACCGCCTCTACCACTGCGAGGCCGAGCAGGTGGCTGTGTGCCAGTACTGCTGCTACTACAGCGGCGCGCATCAGGGACACTCCGTGTGCGACGTGGAGATTCGGAGGAATGAGATCCGGGCAAGTACCCTGCACATACACCCGCACACGCACTCTCCCGTCTAGGCACTTGCATCCGTCCATCGGGACAGCCTGTTGTGATTTCAGGGCAGAGGCTTCCTTCTAAACTCTCCTAATTTGAAAGTTTGGGGGCAAGACCTGGGAAGAAGGGTTCCCTTCCTCCCCCCTGCCCCCCGCGCTTCTTGACACATTCCCACACCTGTGCTCTTAGGTCAGGCGTGTGAGTCATTTATAGAATTGGGGTGTGGAGCTGTCAGGGGTAGAGTTTGCGTGCCCCTTTCCTGTGTTGCACGCAGTTCCCTCCCCCTGCGCTGTTTCGGTAGCCCCTAGGGGAAGTCACCAAGGCAGTGACCCCGGTCCTGCTTCTCCAGCTGCTGTTTATGTAATGAGCGTCCTGGTGCCGCTGCTGTGGCTGACATGATCCATGATGCTGGCATACCAATGAGGAAGTAAACAAAAGCAGCCATGTTAGTTTCAAGCTCTATTGGAAACACATGGAGGGGGGTGTCCACAGGGAGCATACAGCTCAGGGCATCTCTGTGGACAAGGCCAGCCCAGCCAGAGGAGTCCCAGTCGGCCTCTCAGCCTTTTGGGTTATTCCAGATCGCCTGCTTTCTGGGTGAGAAGCCCTGCCCCCTGTGCGTCTGTGTATTGCACATGTCTGCATGAACAAACCTTAAAAGTGTATGCCTCCATCACCCTGAGCCCTTTTTCTCCCAGCCCAACCCTCAACTGAAGCCCTCCCACATTTGGGGAGGAGAAGTAGGAGACGGAAAAAGAATCCTGTGGGTTTAAGGTTGAGCCGCCTTGAAATCTGGTTTCAGGCAGCTGGCTCCCCTGGGCTGCCGGCTGGGTGATTACAGAACCGCATCCCCTCCCACTGTATACACCCTGCAGCATTGGCCAATGTCAAAACCTCCTTCCCCTTCAGGCCTCTGGGCCTGATTTTGAAGCTAGACTGAGGCTATACCTCTGGCCTGTACTTCTGTCCCCTAGGCCTCTCCCAGTGCCCTGGCTTTGGGGGTGAGTCATCCCCAGAGAGAAGGGTTGTCTGAGCCATCTCGGAAGCCCCTGCTTGGGGCCTGGGTGTGCTATCCAGGTGGCAAGGTTGGCCTTTGGGAAACTAGGGAGGGTTTATGGGTGGGGGCCCCTGGAGGCTAGTGGGGAGCTTGAGTATGAGGAAGCTCTTAGCTGGGGCCAGTTGTAGATGGAGGCTGTTTCCTGTGGAGGGGACCAGTCAGAATGAGTCACTGTTTAGCAATTAAAAAACATACACATACAACCAACAAAAGGCAAGAGGGCCGCCACACGCTGAGGGTGGGGATGGCAAATAAAATTTGCTGTATAATTAGTTTCCAATCTGATAGGCTAGCTCAGGGGTTTTGTGCCAGGGCAGGACTCTGGTTTCTTAAAGGAAATGGCAGGGGGGTGGGGATTTGAGAATTGTCTCCCCCTCCCCCTGCCTGGGTTGAAGGAGGGAGAGAGGCCTAGGAGAAGCGGATGAGCCCCTGGTCGCCTTCCATCCCCCACGCAGGGCAGCCAGAGCTCTGACTTTCCCTGGGATTGGGAAGCCGCTGCTATTAATAAAGATGGAAGGGCTGGGGGAGGAGGCTGGGAAAAAAGCAAAGGCAGTGCTCTGTCCTGGGATTGGCAGCCGAAGGTGAGGGGAGGGGAAAGAAGGGGATGTAGCTGAAAAGGACAGGAGAGGGGGTAGGCCCCCTCCCAGTGGTGAATGAATGTGTACCCTCACTCATGGTTGTGACCTAGCTACGTCTGAGTGTTAGGATGCATCTTTAATTGAGGTGAAATAGGAATGACAACTGCACCTGATTTGGTGGTGAGAGAGTATTCAGATGTGTTTGTGAGGGTTTTGTAGACTGGCTGCTTTACTTGTAACTGTACCTGTCCCTATGGTTAGAGAATGCAAGTAGTGGGTGGCAAGTGTACCCTGGGGTTCCCACCAACAAGCCCCTGCCTCCTCTAGCTCTTGGGAAAAACAGGATGGAGGCAGGCACTGAACTTTGTTAGCGGCTCTGTATGTGTGTCTGCCTAGTGTGGCCAGGCTGGGAGGAGCGGGTTGCACCAGGGCCAGATGTGCAATACTGTACATTCAGCATCTGTGCAGGGCAGCCCAAGTTGCATCTTTCTTTAGACCCTTGACCCCTGGAGTTGGAAGCCTTCCTTCAAGAGCCCAGAGTCATTCTCATTTGCATTTGGCTTATTCAGTGTGGAAGAAGCCAGGCCCTCCCCTTCCTGGGGTTAAGAGGGTGGCCAGTGGGGAACCTGCATAGACGAGGCCTAGAGTTCCACAGTCTTCTAGGCCAGACAGGAGGATAGCCCTTTTCCTTGGCCCTTTTCCCCCTGTAGAAGGGAATCTGTCATATAGGGCTAGCCTGTAGATGAGGGCCATTGAATTCTCTGGGGGTCTAGGAGTAGAAGCACAGAGAGCTGGCACATGCCTTAGAATACAGTTCTGTTTCTCGTTCTTGCTCTTCTGCCTTCCCGAGGGGTTGCTGAAATGCCCTAATTGCTAGAAATAGAAAACCCTGACCAACCCTTCCCTGGTGGCCCCCCCATCCGCATACTCAACAAGCACCACTGTGCTCATGGGCTAGCATCCTAGAGCAGTGCTGCCATATTCTGCCCTTGGGAAGCCAGAAGGATGATGGGAGGCTGCAGTCAGATGCCTGCTGTGTGGGCCCTGGAGACCTGCCTTGATATGTAAAGGTGCTCTCCCTTGGGGCTGTGGAAGGCCAAGGGCCCCACAATTCCCTTCAGACATCCAGGTGAGCTCAACATTGGCATCTCTTGGATGGTCAGACCTCCTTCCAACTCCCAGGCAGGACCCAGGCTACCCCTTTTCTCGTGCATTTCTGCCATACAAAGAGAAGCTCCACAAGCAGGCCTAGTTATACATGAGGGGCTATGGGATGCGTGTGTGTTTAAGTGTATCTTTGAGTTTGTGCACTCACAGATCTATGTGTGTGTCCTTTCTCGGGCCCTGGATCAAGATCTCTCTGGAAATGTTGCCAGGACCCTTTGCACCTTTAGAGGGCCATACATGAGAAGAGATGGTCTCCGGGGAGGGGCTGCTGGGGCTGGTTTGGGGTTTGCAGCTGCATGGGATGAGGGGATCCTGCTCTCAAGGCCCTGGCTGCTGAGGATGCATTGGGACTGTGGGGTCTGAGGAAGCTCAGCTGTGTGGGAGGAGCCTGGCTCTGGCAGTGCGGGACCTACTGCTTGCCCCTTCCCGGTCAGGCCCATCCAGCTCCTAGGGTCTTAGTTGAGATTGGGAGATGTGAGTGTGTGTACACACATGTAGGTGCTCCTTCCTTAACCATCCTGGATCTGTAGAAGGTAGATCTGGCCTACCCCTTTGGGGCCCTAGAGGAGCTTCAGACAGAAGCCCAGCCCCACCGCCTCCAGCCCAGGATCCTGCTGACACAGCAGGGGCGCCTGCCATGCACGCGCCCTATTGATTTCTCTGCCCCCAAAGCTTTGAATGGCTGTGCAGGCCTGTCTGTGCGCAGGTGGACGCGCACGCCTATGCTTGTGTGTGAGAGGGGAGGGTACACGGAGGCCACGCTTGCCACGTCCCCTGAAGTTGAGTGTACATGTCTGAAATGACTGTTGTCAGCGTGACTGTGCTTCTGTGTGAGTCCCTGCCTCCAGCCATTGTAGTTTGGTAGTTGTGAGTCTGTGGTGGTGGCATGCGACCTTCTCACCTGGTGATGCTGGGGAGGGGAAAAGAAAGCAGGATTTACCTTAGGGTGAGCTTGTAGCCTGGGGAAGGCCTTGGAGATGGGAGCCAGGGTGGGTCTTGTGACAGTGCTGGGGGCAGTCTGGGAGGACATAGGAAGAGGGGGAAGCCGGCTTGGGCCTCTGCCCTGGACTGAGCAGGCGCCTGGCCGAGCTCATCTCTGGCCCTGGGAAAGCCTTCCTTCCTGGCTGGCCTGGCATTCAAACCCAGACAAAAGGGGGCTTTCTCTCTCGCCTCTTTGTTCTGCTGCCCCAGAGCGGTGCTCTCTGCATGGCAAAAGCTAATTCTGCTCCACAGCCTAGAAGCCCCCTCTGGGTTCACCAAGCTGGCCTCTGAGGTGCTGCCTCTTACTGCCTGGGGCTCCCACTCTATAGTCCCTCTCTCTCTCTCTCTGGGTCTCTGGTCTCCCCAGCTAAAGCCTGGAAAGGAGGAGGGTCCAGGGCAGGCCAGGCAGCTTTTCTGCTGGAAGGGCAGAGTGCTGTGGGCCCTGGGGGAGAAGAAGGGAATCTTGGGCTGAGATAAGGGCTTCAGTGGGGGAGGGTGCTGGCAGCTGGGGAGGAGGATAGGATGTGTGGATTTGAGCAGCCTGGAGAGGGCTGCAGCCAGGGCTACGGCAGGAGAGGCACCTGGGAAGGAACCTGAGCAAGAAAAGGGGTTCCAGCAACCCTTGTCTTCTTCCTTTGACCACCACTTCAGGGAACCAGCTTGGCCTTGTCTGAAAACCCAGAAGCTGCCTCGACCGCAGCCTCTGGGGCCCTGTTCCCTGCTGACCTTGCTTCTCTTCAAGGTTCGCTTGAGGATTTTATTATTATTATTTATTAACTTTTATACAGCCCAGAGTCCTCACAGCCTCAGCCGTCTGCCAGTCTAGACTGGCATCACAAATGTCGCCTGGGCCTCACTGGTCAGGCTCCAGAGGATATATGACAGGAGTGCAGCGGGGAGCACAGGTCCCCTCACCTGGGCTTCGGGTGGGAAGAGAGGCAGTCTAGAAAATGAGGGGCAGCGAGGGACCTGGAGGGGTGGGATTGGAGTGCGTGGAGACTTCTAGAGGCTTCTGTCCCCTCAGGCCCAGGGACAAACCATGGAAGGCTCTGATGCTGTGGGCAGGTGAGGAGGTCCTGTCTGACCCCATAGCTGCTGAGTGAGAGTGCGGATGTTTAGATCTTGAGGTGTGCTGTGCGTGGTTCGTGGGGAGGGGGGCTCCATTGCTGTCAGGAAGGGCAATCTGCTTCCACCTCAGCTATGAGTTTTTCCATGGGAAGTGGGTCTGGTGGCTCTCTGGAGAGGCAGGAAGGGGGTTAGGGTGGGAAGGAAGCGCCTGGTAATGGCAAGAGGTTCAAGCCTTGCTTCCTCTGTTCCTCACTTTCTGGTGTCTCAGCCACCTGCATAGCCGGAAGTGACTGTGTTCCTCCTTCCCCCACTTTCTCAGTGCCCGAGGTACAAATGACCACCCTTCTTTCAGACATTGTTTGTGGCAGGAGCCAGCTCAGTTGTCCCCTAGGACAGGCCCTGCAAGAATAAACTGGCCACATTCCTTCCCTAGCTGGCAACCTCTGGCAAGCTTCTTTTCCCCTCCTGCCCTCGCTCCCCACCCTATAATAGGCCTCCAATGATCTGTGAGCTGGAGAAGGGAAGATGAAACCCACCCACCACCTTCAGGGAGTGAGGACAGGGAGTATGGCCTTGGTTAGACAGGGAGGACATCACAGAGCCCCAGGATACACGCCCTGGGCAAGAGGCTCCTCCCTTGGTCTGTCTGAGGGGTTCAGTCATGAGTTCTCCAGGGCTTCTCCTAGTGTCCAGGATGATGGAAGTGGGACAGCCCCATTCTCATCCTCATAGAACTGCATTTTTTCTACTCTCTCATCTGAGTCTCACCCCAAGCATCCCCAAATCTGGTACTGATGAAAATAGTGCATGCCTGGGGAGCTGGGAGCCTGAGCTTTCATATATCCGAGGCCCTGGGATGGCAGAATGGGAGGAGAGACAACAGCAGATGAAATGAGACTGTGCTGGCCCAGTGTTAGAGGGAGAAAAAGGCTGGATGTTCTGGCATGGGGGTGCTCTGGGTTTTGTGGCAGGCCTCCTTCCATTATCTGAGCCTTTAGGAGGCCTACAGTCACTGTACACCTTGGGTACAACAGACTGCAACAGAGCTCTAGTGGCTGCCAACCCAAAGGCAAATGGTTCAAATCCACCAACAGCTCCAGTAGAAGAAGATAGGCATTCTCTTCCTTTGTGATTTACAGCCTCTGAAAACCTGCTGGAGGGTCAGCTATGAGTTTGTCTGACTCAGTGGCAGTCACACACACCAGATGTGCTGTATGGGTATGAAGTGAACCCAGGGTCCAAGGGGGTATGGACAACACTACAGGATGTCTCTTTCTCTCTTCACACAACCCTTGGCAGTTTGATGGCTCAAGCTGTGTCTGTTTCCAGGCTCAGATCTTCAGACTGGCTCCTGCTCCCTGCACCCCAATCCTGGGTTTGGAGGTTTCTGCTGGAAGGGCAAAGTTCTCCTGGAGCATGACCTCTTGGATCTGTTTCTTGGACCTCCTTTCCTGGCGACTGAAGTGCCAAATTTGGGAGGGGATGTCTCAGACTACCCTAGCTCATAATCAGAGAGCCCTTACCCCCACCCATTCCTTCTGCCTACAGGCTCCTGGGTCTTGGTTTCTCTGTATGTAAAAATGAGTTGGAGGGCATGAGGAATGGGTTAGTAACAGTTTGTCTTTGGGGCAGCTGAATGTGACAGGGAATAGAGGTCATGGGCTCAGACTTGAAGGTAACTCTGAGAACCCTCAGAGGAAGGGAAAAGCCAGTTCTTCTGAGTGGACACTTAATGCAAGCGAGGTTCTGTGAAAGCTATGTTTCAAACTTGACTTTATGTACAAAGTCTCCATGTTTATTCAGGAACTATGTTTAGCATCTGTAGGGTGCCCCTGTCTTTGTGTGGACTGACTGGGAAAGGAGATAGAGACAAACAGTAGCAAAGTCCTGTGCTCAAGATCAGACCATAGCAGTTGAGTCGATCAGAAGACAAGAGCAGCATTGCCCAACAGAACATTCTGTGACAACGAGGATATTTCCTGTATGTGGTATCCACTGCAGTAACCACCAGCTTATTTGGCTTGTGGAGCACTCGAAATGAGGCTGGTGCGACTGAGGAACGGATGTTCAATTTTGCATGTTGTTATTAGGTTTATAGAGGCACATGTAGCTTGTGTTTACTGTATTGGCGGTGCAGAGGGAAGACAGAGTGTGACCTCCTGGTCAGGAGGAGAGGCCTGCACAGACTTGGAGGCTCATGGAAGGCTTCCTAGACCAGTAGAGGCTTCTGGACAGACAAGAAGGAGGAGGCACTGTGGGCTGCAGAAAAGCAGGAGCAGAGTCCAGAGACTTGAAATGAATACAGTGTTGGGGACAGGATGCAGAGTTACCTGGCTGAGTTAGTCTGTTGGTGAGCCTTGGTTGCCAGGCTCAAGAATTTCTTGAAGGAGGGAGTCATTGAAGGTTCTTTTTTATTTTACTTTATTATTTTTTTGTGCCTATACTGTCAAATCAGATCTGACTGGTACAGGAAGAGATTGCCCCTCCTTCTCCAGCAGAGCATCTGGTGGATTCGATCATTGAAGGTTCTTGAGCAAGGGAGGTACCCTATTTGACCAGATGTGTCTGGTGAGGAGGGTTGCAGGCTACTGGGAGCAGCTGGCATCTACAGGGCCAGGAGGAGAGAGAGTTTGTGGGCCTGAGAGATCAGAGCTGGCAAAGCTGTTTATTTCATGTGATATGAGTATTCAAGCAATGCCCAGGTGAAGGAGGAGAGATGATTGCAGTATGAGAAGCTGCATCTGAAAATCCAAGAGACTGGCCTTGATTTTCAGGAGAGCTGGTATCTCCTTTCTGCCTGGGTTCAACTCATGGGCTGAGAGAGCTATTGGGCTCTCAGGGTCTGGCTTAGTGTGTGGGACTAGTTTGAGGTGAGAGCTTTGAACTGAGACCCAGGGGCCCCTGTGACCTTCCTTGGCAGTCATTCCCTCTGCATCTTAGAGTGCTCCTCTCCAGGAGGGTGCTCCCCAGAGTGGTAGAATGAGTCCACTGAGCATAGACCCTACTGTCAGATCACCTGGGTTTCTAGTGAGTAGCTGTGTGACACTGGACAAAGTACCTATAACCTCTTGGGGCCTCAGTTTCCTTTTCTGTAAAATCATGCTGATAATAAGACCTCTCTCCTAGCATTACTGGCATGATTAGATAAGCCAGTACAGGAAATGTGCCTGGAACAAAGGCTGACTTGATTCCATGCTCAGAAAGCTCATGCTTTAAGCTAGTCCAGCTTTTAGTGGCTGGGGTCAAAGACTAGTCGGCCTGTGTCGGTAAGCCCCTGGAACTGCAGCCAGGGGGCCAGGTGGGTCACAGGCCTTATAGGATTATAGGATGAGTATGTTCTGTAGAGGGGAGGGAGGATGGGGCTTACCCACCCTTGGGAAAGGGCAGAGTCACATCTCCCTCTGATGTCCCTTACCACGACTATCCCTGCAGAAGATGCTGATGAAGCAGCAGGACCGGCTGGAGGAGCGAGAGCAGGACATTGAGGACCAGCTGTACAAACTCGAGTCAGACAAGCGCCTGGTGGAGGTAGTGCAGCCCCAGCCTGTGGTATGGGGTGCGGGTGGTTGGAGTACAGGGCTTTGGGTTGATTTTTTTTTTACTTAGGATCGTTCATGTGGTCGGCTCTGTACCATGTGTCACCCCACTGGTACCAGCGGTGGCAGAGCCGGAGCCCTTTGCTGCCCAGTGAAGAACTGGCAGGTCAGACCTTGCCTTCCCACACTGTCCGAGTGCCCCATGCTCACATGTGCGCCCCCTCCTGCCCCTGTGCCTGCAGGAAAAGGTGAGCCAGCTAAAGGAGGAGGTGCGACTGCAGTATGAGAAACTGCACCAGCTGCTGGATGAGGACCTGCGGCAGACAGTGGAGGTCCTGGACAAGGCCCAGGCCAAGTTCTGCAGCGAGAACGCGGCGCAGGCGCTGCACCTCAGCGAGCGCATGCAGGAGGCCAAGAAGCTCCTCGGCTCCCTGCAGCTGCTCTTTGACAAGACAGAGGACGTCAGCTTCATGAAGGTGGGCTGTGCCCAGGCCCTGGCTGTTGGGACCTAGGGGTTCCTTCCTAGATTCAAAGCTGCTCTTTTCTGCTCTCTTGACCAGTTTCTTCCCCGCCAGCTCTCTCTCATGCCCTTGACTGTGGAGCTAGCCTTCACTGATTCAGATCCCACCCTCCTCTTTATAGCTTTGTGACCTTGGGCAAGTCATATCTGTCTATTCCTTAAATCTTCATTTCTTCACCTCTAAAAGGGAGTTGATAATCCAAGTTTGTGGTCTTTTATCCACAATTCCAAATCTTAAAAAATCACAAAGACTAGAAGAAAAAAAAAATTTCTTTGACAACTCATTTAATAGCAAAAGCTGACCTGAGCCGAGACTGGACCATGGAGAATGGTGGAATACTCTCACGTGGAATACTCAAGCACTTTGTTGCAGAAATGTTAATGTGTTGCCTAATGAGGTCTTAGAGAGCTTTGGTAGCATAGGCTGTAGGGTATTGCTCTGACAACCCAAAGGAGGGCAGTTCAAATCCACCAGCAGCTCAGAGAGAAAGGTGGACAGTCTCTTCCTGTTCAGTTTACAGCCCCTGAAAACTGACTGGAGGGTCGGCTATGAGTCAGTTCGATTCAGCAGCAATGAGTTTGTGTTTAACGGAGTATTCCCCAGGTCCTGTTGTGAACGATATTTAACTATATTCACTTATTCATTCAGTGCCACTGAGTTAAGCTGACCCTCCATTAAGTTTCCAAGACTACATCAACACAGGAGAAAATTGCTTGTCTTTCGCCCCTCAGAGTTGCTGGTAGGTTCAAGCCTTCCAGCAGGTGCAGCCTTTGGGTTATCAGTGCAACTTCCTGTGAACTCTGCCTCTAGAATTCTCTAAACATATTACAAGCCCTAAATTGCTCTTCTAGAATACAAAACCTTTCAAATTCCATAATATATTTGGGTCCAAGGATTTAGAAAAAGAATTGAGGGCTTGCAGACCATACCTCATAGGCTAGCTATGCAGATGAAATGATAGATATGAAAGTCTTGTAATGGTGTGTCACATTGTAAGTTGTTAACTCAGGGTCATTGTTGCTTTTGCCACACTCTGTCCAGAATCAGTGTCAGCGCTGCCTGAGAGGGAGGATGTGGCAGCTTCCTTCTCCCCTTCCCCTGTTCTGCCTTTCCTATTAACTGACCCTATTCTCTCCCCCCTAGAACACCAAGTCTGTGAAAATCCTAATGGACAGGTGAGCAGATGGACTCCCACCCTCAGGGGAGAAGCTGGGATGGGAGGGCGAGGCCCACGATGGGGAGGTAGGGCGGGCTCACTGGTGAAGCCTCCTCATAGCAGATGCCCCATCCACTGCCCCCAGGACTCAGAACTGCACAGGCAGTAGCCTTTCTCCCCCTAAGATCGGCCACCTGAACTCCAAGCTCTTCCTGAATGAGGTGGCCAAGAAGGAGAAGCAGCTACGGAAGATGCTAGAAGGTGAGTATGGGATCCTTGGTAGAAAAGAGAGAGCCCTTTAGACAAAGAGTCAAGGTCAGAGACTTTCCTCTAAGGGGTGTGGCCTGTTTGAGTAGACTTTGCTGGCCTTTCTTTGTTTATGGCATCTCAGTTTCTTCAGCTGTAAGATAGGAGTGGGAATGGTATATACCTCCTATTAGAGTGCTGAGCGTCAACTGAGATGTTGGATGACATGTGTGGGGAGGCCTGGGTTGGTAATGGGTGAGAGCTATGGTGACTTTTGCCCCCAAATTCTCCACAGGCCCCTTCACACCAGTGCCCTTCTTGCAGAGCGTCCCCCTGTACCCCTGTGGCGTGAACAGCTCTGGGGCAGAGAAGCGCAAGCATTCAGCGGCCTTCCCTGAGGCCAGTTTCCTAGAGACATCATCGGGCCCTGTGGGCAGCCAGTACGGGGCGGCGGGCACAGCCAGCGGCGAGGGCCAGTCTGGGCAGCCCCTGGGGCCCTGCAGCTCCACACAGCACTTGGTGGCCCTGCCAGGTGGCGCCCAACCAGTACACTCAAGTCCTGTGTTCCCGCCGTCGCAGTATCCCAATGGCACCGCTGCCCAGCAGCCCATGCTCCCGCAATACGGGGGTCGCAAGATTCTCGTCTGCTCCGTGGACAACTGTTACTGTTCTTCCGTGGCCAACCATGGCAGCCACCAGCCCTACCCCCGCTCCGGCCACTTCCCCTGGACAGTGCCCTCGCAGGAGTATTCACACCCGCTCCCACCCACGCCCTCGGTTCCCCAGTCCCTTCCTGGCCTGGCCGTCAGAGACTGGCTCGATGCCTCCCAGCAGCCTGGCCACCAGGATTTCTACAGGGTGTATGGGCAGCCATCCACCAAACACTACGTGACGAGCTAACGCCACGCGGGCGGGCGGTGGCACGCTGAGGAGTCTCTCCTGCAGCCCCTGGTGGCTGGGGAATTATGCATTCAGAAACCTACCCTCCTCCTTTCTTCTTCCCTCCATTCCTCCCAGTCTTTTCTTTTTGGATTTGGTTTTGTTTGGGGTTTTGTTTTCGATTTTATTTTCTTTTTTTTTTTTTAATGACTCTTCTGAACACAGAGGTGACAGTGGGAGTTGGCCTGGGCTGGGGCCCAGGTGGCCCTGGAGTGGGGAAGGTGTCTGTCTCAAGGCACTGATCTTGCTCTGTCTGTTTCTCCTTTTCTCTTCCACCCCTTCCCTTTGAACCCCCTTGGCTGAAAGGAGACTCAGCCTCCCTGAAAGCCTTGGAGGTGGGGGTTCAGCCCCTCACCACCCCCCCATGGAAAGAAAGACCAGTGCCCACTGGCCCATTTCTTTTTTAGTTTTTTTCCTTTTGGGCATTTTGATCACTGATTGAGTAAGGAATGACCTGTAGATTGTGGAGCCTTTTTTTTTTAAAAAAAAAAAAAGAAAGAAAGAAACCCAACCAAGAATAATTTCTTCTGCTTCCTTCTCCTCACCATCCTCCCAGACGGAGTTCAAAGGCCACTTCTCAAGCAGCTTTTGGCATCTTCAGCCTCAAAGTGGAATCTTTTAAAGACAGGAACCCCATGTCCAGGAAATGGGACAAGGAACTTTGCCAATGATAGTGACCACAGCAAAAAGCAAATAATAATAATAATAATAATGAAGATAAATAAAAGATAATAAAATAAAACCCATCTGCCCTTGTGGAGGTCAGTAGGGGAGGATGGGTTGGTTGCCCCAACTTGGGCCTTTGCCTGGATTTTGACACAGCAGCTTCCTGTAGTGAGCACTTTGTATGAATCGTGGACTTCCTCTTCTCAAGGCACAGATATTTATTCTGTAATCTGTCTAGCACACACACCAAAATCCAACCTCTAATAAACATAATGGCGCGTTCCCAATCCCTGTTTTGCCTCTTAACCCCGAAGGCCACCAGTCTGGGCTCTTTAGATCTTGATGTAGGGAGGGGATTTCAGAGGGAAAAGGTCTTAGCACCTTGCCTCTCCTGTGTCTGGCCAGTTCCAGACCCCTGCCTGCCTGTCAGTTTCTCAGCCACTAACTGCATCTCTTGGCCTTGAATTCCATTTGACAAATATTTGCTGAGGGCCTCCCAGGCCTGGCCCCAAGCTCAAGGGGCTTTGGCATCTCTTTGAGGCCCTGCCAGTGTGCTCTTAGCTGGGACAAAGGAGAAACACCTTTTTTTGAGTCTTGCAAAATGAGCCTCCTTCAGTTCACAAATATTTATTGAGCATATACTGAGTTCTAGGACCATGTGGGGGCCATGGGCAGGGAGGGCAGAAAAGCCACATCCTAGGAAATTTCTACCACCCCCATGGGACATGGTCAGTTAATCTGTGCTGCTTTTGAGAATCTGGGGCTTTGGCCCTGGGAGACTTGAGGATGGGGTAGCAAGGTTAAAAGATCCCACTCTTACCCCCTTTGGCAGAGTTTCTCAGTCTCAAGCTTCTTTGGGGGACATATTAAAGGGACTCATTGCTAGTCCCCTCCAGTCCTTGATCTCAGTGGGCTCAGAAACGTGCATGTTTTTATCCCTGGTGATTCTGGACATTGAGAAGGGCTGCTGTGAGAGAGCCTGGCCAAGGTCCGGCCTGCAGCTGGCCCAAATGACCCCTTTGCCCCTATTGGGGTGGAGTCAGACACATCAAGGCCCTCTTTGGAATAGGAGACTTTATCTGCTTTGTTACAGATACTGTCAGTGCCCATCTGTACAGTAGGAGCCGGCGGGCCTACTCGTGTCTGAGCAGAATTGTGAACCTCTCATCTGTTAGAAGCTCAGAGTAGGCTTGTGGCCCTCAGGTAACCCCAAACCTTGCTATCCACTATTCAGCCTCAGAAAAAGACGACCTCAGAAGGACATGTTCAGGCCATACTCTGCTCAACCAAACCAGAGCCTGGGGCCTGCTCAGCTCCTGCTATTCCAGGGGAGATGAGTCAGGATGGGGTGGAACTTGCTTCATTGTCTCCCCCTCCCCAATATGGCAGGGAGCTGGAGTCAGGAGCAATATGACAGCTGGCCTGTCCCCTTTATTCCCCTGCACCTGTTTGGGGCTAAGCAGAGGCACATGGCTAGAGAACAGCATCCTTTTCCCCTGATATGGGTAAAAGGATGCCTGGGGACAGGTGCTGATGGGTAATCTTAACTCTTCCTCACAACTCCTGTCTCACTGTCTCTTCCCAGGAGCCCTTAACATACCTGAGCCAAAAGTTAGTGGGCAAGAAAGCCGCCTGATTTTTCTCCTGCTTGGCTTAGTTTTAGCTCAAGGAAGGAATCAGACAGATGTGAAGGAGAGATCCTAGTGGGGGTCTGACCAGCACTGCTTCAGCTTTCAAAGTCCACCCCAGACAATTCACATACTTGGGCACACAGCTGCAGGAGAAGCAGCCAGCTGCCAGGAGAGGGCCTTGGGGGTGCCAAAGGCAGCAGGGAGACACTGACCCTATCCAGCTGTCCCCAACCGTCCAGCTGTCCGGGGCTTTGTAGCAGCAGCTGTCACTTCCACAAAGCTGGGGCTCAGAAAGAACTGGAGCTGCCCCAGATACCAGGGTGGACCCAGAAGCCAAGGAGGTGGGGGTGCTCCCCGGCTGCACACCCAAACCCCTGACTGCATCCAGAGCACACACCCAGAGCCTCACATCCGCTAATCAGCTCTCATAGGGCGCTCACACCCTCACAGCCCCAGGCAGCGCCTCCTACTCAACCCCCAGAGGCCATCACTCCACCTCTTTCCGGGAAAGGCCTCGGGCCGCATCACCCCCACCCAGCTGGCCAGGGGGGCATCAGCTCCTGGGGCCCAGATGTGCGGAGCCAGTGGGGAGGGGGCGACCGCTGGGGGGTTTCCTTTGCCGCCACCCTTGCCGGCGGAGCCCTTTCATGTCACCGCCCTCCAGGCCCCAGCCTGAGCGAGCAGCTGGCCTGAGCCCACCCCCTTCTCAGCCCGCTCCCAGCTGTCTCTGGGGTGGGGCTGGGCAGCTGGGAAACAGCTGCAGGACAGGGGGAGGGTGTTGCCCAGCTGCCCCCAGCAACTGCCGGAAACAGTCCTCAAGCCCAGGAGGGGTGCAGGGGCCAGAGAAGAGGGGGAGTGCCAGGCCACTGAGAGAGGGTCTACTCCAGATCAAAGTTCCCGGCTTCAAAGGGCACCCTGGAGACCTAGGAGGGGGCGAGGGGCAGCCAGGAACACTCAGAAGACACTGCTGAGTCAGTGCGGAGACCCCATGTTCAAAGCTCACTTCTGGTTATTACTGGCCCTGTTCACACCCACCCACTCAGACCCTCTCATTGTCACCACTCCCTTTCCTCAGACACCTTCATCTTGTCTTTCCATCTGAGGGTGAGGGCGAACCACAGTAGAACTCTGCTGGAAGGGACCTGGTCTCCTGGGGGTTTCCCCACCCCACTCCTGCATCCAGGATATATTGGGAGTAAGAGAGTCTTGGAGGGCACCCACTGCCCCTAACTAAGCACTCTGGGTTTCCCCTCAGAGAAAAACTATCTTATTGATTATTTGTGTGTGCTGTGCTGGTTTTGTTTTTTTACCTTTCCGGGGATATGGGCCAGAGAAACATGGATCAGTAATTTCTGGGTGAATAATACAGTGCTATATTGTGTTGGAAAACTACCTGCAAATATTTTAGAAGCAACCATCTCCTACACTCTATGAAAAAAGGTTGGGGCAGAAGCCCGAGATTCAGGCTTTCTCAAGACTAACATCTAGAAATCTGAGAACAGGAAAAAGATCTGGGTAGAGCCAGGTAGGGTTCGGGGATACATGCGCCTCCACCAGGAAGGAATAGGCTGTCAAAATCAGCTTCTTGGAGCTCTGATGGCCTAGTGGCAAGAAGCTGTGCTGC